TAATTTTTTTAATAAGGAGTTATAAGCTTTTAAAATCATGTGATAATCATTGACCGTTATAGATGTCCTGCACTATATTTTTTTGAAATTTGAACGCATGGTACAGCAATAAGTGGTCTCTAGACCGATAAAAAATCGCACAACCTCAAACCACCAAGGCCAAAATAAACCTTTTTATTTTTTGCATTCTTTAATAAATTGTAATAGATAATTTTATTCTTCCACACGGCACATAGCCACCCCTGTCATAATGGATGATAAAATATATGACATTTATTTATATATTGAATAGACAAAAACAAGCGGTGAATTAGATTTTATTTATTTATTTATTTTTCAAATAACCAAATCAAAAAAATACTAGACAAAAAACAAGAAATATTTGAGAGGCGAATCTATAATTAAAATTTTGGGATGGGGCGTTTGGATATGAAATTCTGATTGGCTAATTTGAATATGTTCACATAAATTTCATTTTCATGCATATGTACAAAAATTTAATAACCAGGGTAGACTTTCCCCTAGTGCAAACAAGAGAAAAAAAAAATCTACTGAAAAAGGAGTTGGGGCATTAAAAAGAAAACATACACCTATAACAATCTCACAAAAAATAGAAATATGCATTGAAAAAAATAAAGATCCAAACATAAAAAATAACCAGCTTGCATCTAAATATAATGTTAGTGAATCTACTGTTTCTGAAATTCTAAAAAAGAGTGATTATTTTTATCATTGAATCTAAATCAATTCGCTGTCAGAAAATGGATAAAGGAAATTCTAAATCCTAAATTTTTAAATTTATTACCCCGTTAATCCAAAGAAAAGTTCCTGCACAATTGCCTTCGGTTTAACGGGGTTGCCTATGTACTATAATTTGCGTTGTAAAACTAATTAACACAAAAAAAAGATTTAACATTTGCCGTGTCACGATCTCCTTCCAAAACTCGCAAATTGTGCGACTTCCGTGCAGGTTTCTCGCCGATTGTCTCCTTTTGCGTTTAGCCGCACTTGGTTTTTTCGGCTTTTGGCGCGATCAACGTTTTCACCATATTTTTAGCAAAAATTGTGTCGTACGGCAAATGTTTCGTTTCATATATAGGTTGCAATTGCAATTGAGTTGCATTGAATTGAGTTGCATTGAATTGAATTGCAAGCAATGCGTTGCAATTGCAATGAAACCGAAAAATCTGTTTTTAAACTTTTTAAACTTAATTTTTTGGGAAAGAATTTTTTGCTTTCGCTGGGTGGTGATTTCAAAAAAAATTTTTTTTTTTTATTTTTCTGAAAAAAAAATTTGATCTACATAAATTTTATTGCAAAAAAAAAATATATACAAGTAGAAATTAGAAATGAAAAAAAAATTTTGATATACGTAATTTTTATTGCGAAAAAAAAAAATACAAATGGAAATGAAAAAAAAAGAATAATGAGAATTATTCAATGTCACAACTCTCGTCACCGTTGTCATTTACCACTGTTTCGTTTTCATTATCATCGACATCATTTTCACAACCTTTATTCTTACTGACAACTTCGTTCATTGTGTATGTCAGTTTTGTTGCCCTTGCTGTGCTTGATTCTTCTTGTGGATCAAGGTCTACGCTTCTTCTTTTTTTGCCCGACTCCCTGATGTGATTCGTGGTCTTTCTCTTGCTGTTGGAACTCATGAATTGTTCCTCAAAATCCAGGTGTTTGGATTTTAATGCTTTGCGTGGGGATTTCTTTTCATCGTTGTTGTTGGTCTTTTCAACACTCGGATAAGTCCATTCGATTTCGCTTGCAAAGACTTGTGCAAGCTTTCTGCCCAGAAAAACCTCGCCTGCTACAGTAAAAATTTGTTTCCCGTTTTTTGTAGCATTGGGAAACCACCGTGACGACCATTATCAGGATCATAAAAACATGGAATGTCCATTGATGTGTATCTACCTTTAAATGGGTCGTATGTTCTTCGAGACATAGTGAAGTAATGTTTGTCGTTTTGATTTTTTGAAGGTGTTACACACGGAGCAGTTATTACACCATATAAAGGACTAATTGGCAGATCGTATATAGTTGGTTCGTCTTCTATGGTTTTCAGGTCAAGTAGGGTTGGTTTATTCACTATGACCTGGAGTGTGTGACAAGAAATATGTTGTTTTAATTATTGTTATTTAAAAAAGCAAGACAAAAAAATAGATAAAATACTCACAAATAATTGCGATTCGTCGAATATGTATTTTCCTGCAAACAACATGATGGTGTTTTCTTGAATCTCATCAATTAAATTTGCTTCGTCCACATTGAATGCCTTGTATTGGATGTCTACATATTCATCATCATCCAATCCGGCTGTAGCTGTGCCGCTTAAGGTTCTGGAGCCATTAACGGACTTGACAAACACGATTGCGGTCAATATAGTAGACATTATTCTTTCGTTTGATGTTTAATATTAATAATAATGAATGAGATAGGGCCAAAAAAATAAATTGAACACAGATCAATGAATTATTTTGTGTGCAAAGAAAGGTTTTATTATATATTGTTATTTCGTGAAATTTTCTGAACGCGGATCAACGAATTATTATTTTTTTTTTTGTATATGTGCGAAAGATTTTGTACGAATTTTTGCTTTTTAATGTTAATAAAGATAATTGTAATTATTTAACAAGAGATAATTAATTAATATTTAATATCAGATAAGAATGAAAAAAAAAACTTTGAGTGAAAGGTTTATTTTATACATGTTTTTAACAATCATCAAAATTTTTTGTTTGTATTTATTATCGCGCACGAAAACCACACGTTGTTCTGTAAATGAAATAAATGAAACGAAGCCATACATTGTTCTATAATTAGTAATGTCAAGATAAGTAAAAAACATTAATTCAAACGAAGGAAAAACCTTCTTGTGGATTATCATATTTTACTTTATTTGTATTTATTATCGCGCACGAAAACCACACGTTGTTCTGTAAATGAAATAAATGAAACGAAGCCACACATTGTTCTATAATTAGTAATGTCAAGCTAAGTAAAAAAATTAATTCAAACGAAGGAAAAACTTCTTGTAGATTATCATACTTTATTTTTTTTTGTTATACACACTAATACCAAAATGTTAAAACACGTTTTAGCGAATTATCTTTTTTTGACGATTGAATTGTTTCTAACACTAAAAATACTAAAAACGGATTATCTTTTTTGACAATTGGATCGATTATGATTATTATTGTTTAATTCTAATACTAAGAATGCTAAAAAACATTTTTGTCCATTTTTTGGATCATACCGTTGATTCGTTTTACTATTTAAGAAAAGCATCATTCTATTATTAACATTTAATTAATTTAATTGCAAAAACATACCGTTGATTCGTTTACTTTTTAAGAAAAGCATCATTCTATTATTGGTGTTTAATTAATTAATTATTAAAACGTGCTAAAAAAATTTTTTTTTGAGTTGTAAATTTTGTTTTTATTAAATGAATTTGTTTATTTTTTCATACATCGTTCATGTTTTGTCTTTATCGTATATCTTAAATTGATCGCATTTACAATCGTTTCGTCGACATTCGTTATGTTAAGGTTGTTTCGATTATATCGAGAGATATGGTCAAGAGAAGAGTTAGGAAGAGAGTTATTTTTCAACCAAGTCGAAAACCAACCCTTTAAATACATTTTCGAGTAGTACGATTTTATTTATTAGACTATTTCAAAGGTTTTGTCGCATGGTTGCTTCCAACTTCTTAAATTCGAACCATTTGTTAATGAAACAATTGTCCGTGAAATGATTGTTGACAAAGTGAATCAAACCTACATTAAATGTTTTATTTTTAAATTCACGATTTTAATTGGTCGATCAACAATTGCGTGGGTTAAATTTTGTGTTACAAGAACGGTCACGTTGTATAATAATAATAACGACAAATTATTTCATGGTTTGAACGTAGTGTGCGCTTAATTTTATCTTGATCGAAGACGCAATCCCAAACCCAACTTAAAATAAATTGTTCTCGTGTAGCACGGTATGCGTGTTTTGTAACACGAAAAGCAAAAGCTCACATTGCGTTCTCAGTTGTAAACTTGTTATTAACACGCACACATATATTTTATATATTCGTAATGCAATTTACTGACTGACATTCAGGGCTGGAGTTGAAGGCCTCGAATTTTCCAGAAGATAAATTTAACCAAGAAATCTATCACAGGGAAACTTTTTTTTCAGGTCAGGAGGTTAGGGAAAATCCAGATTTTAAAAATACTATTCCTAGCCCCCTTTATATTTTAGTTTAAAGTTATTTGATTGCAATTAAAATAATATGTGGATAAGTTGTATCTTCTTTTATAACTTCATTAAAATGTATATAGAGTTTGTTTTTTGTATTTGATCGAGTTGAATTGTTTAAATTAGAGCATGTTGGCAGAATGATTGTAAGTGATAATAATAACAATTGATTATTATCAAGAATTTGATTATAGGTGGAAATTATTAATAGATACGATCAATATTCATGTCGTCAAAACTCTGATGGTTTTTGTGGTATCATCAATTATAAAAAAACAAAATTTATTGTCAAATCATAATAATAATAATTTTATAAATCTAGTATATAAATTTTTTTACATTCTAAAATTACAAACAACTCTTTCAATCACAGATTTAAAAAAAAAACTGTAAAAATGTTGGATATTTTTTCGAAGAATTTATTTGGTAAGACGATTAAACATGAACTTCCAAAAGAGCAGGATTGATTGATTTAATTCATTATAAAAGTGCCCCAAATCTGCAAATAAAAAAAAGAATTGATATGTTATATATATTTTAGGAAGGATGCAAAGAAAATGCATAACCCAACAAATAAATCAGATAATACAAAAACCATTGCACCAACTATAAACACATTATTACCCATCACCATAATCATTTTATTATTACGATTATTGTAAAAAGATTTAGATGAATTAATTTTTAAGAAAATATCATACCCGAATACACTTTTAATCGAATTCCAATAATAATTTTGCCAATTACGTCGCACTATATCCACTTCTCCAATAGGAATTCCTTCTTGTGTTAGATGAACCATTGTATTGTCGCTTGTTTGCTCAAATCTAAGCGTGACTGTAGAAAAGTGATCTTTTTTATATAGAAAATAACCAATAATATTTATTTATTTATTCAATATAAATATATAACTATTATATTATTGTTGTTATTTATATTTACCTTTGGGCCAAGTTCTTAGGCGCCATGTTTGAACTATTTTTTCATTTGGAACCTTCAATTAAAATATTTTTAAAAAAAAAAATTAATATCAAATAATAAATGTTAATAAGATTTATTTCATTCCGCCGCTCCATACCAATTCTAATATTGTGCCTGTAACATTTCCATCAAATAAACTAAACTTGCTTCCAACAAGTCTAAAGATGTCTGGCCTTGATCTTGTCCAAGCAGTAACACGACCCGGATCAAGCAGAGTTTCATAGATTTGATCTGCTGAAGTTTGCATTTCAATCTTTTCATTTATTGTGGTAGTGTTAAGTTTTGTTTTGATTGATGATGAAGGGATTGATGGTGATGACGACGATGATGACGACGATTTAGAAGTAGTAATTTTGGAAGAAAAAGTGGTGGTTGTGATAGCTTCAGAAGTAGGAGTTGATACTGCGATTGGTTCACTAGGTGTAATTGGTTTTTGATTGGGAGCTCCAAGTTGAGATGGTTCAATATAAACGTCTTTACTATGAGCTAAAGTTACAAGTATAACATGATAGTAAGTTATAATAACAATATAATCAAGGAATATAAACATAATGAAACAAACATACTTTCTACCATGTCTTTTCCAATATTCTTGAATTTTTCTATAAGCAAAGGTGTCAAATGTTTACGAATTACTTGTTTAATAGAATCCTTCTCACCATCATTTACAGTAATTTCAAACTAAACAATGAAATAATTAAATAAGTTAAACTATAACAAAAAATTAATTTTATATATATATATATTTTTTTTTTTTTTTTTTTTAATACCTCACAGTCACTTTCTGAACCTTGTAAAAGTTCAGGAATTTTAATATTCCCAGTGAACTCAGTTCCATCAACACCGGTGCCTATAATATATTCATGTATTATTAAACAAGAGAAATACATTAAATTTGATTTGAATAAAAATTTTTAAAGAAAATATATTTAATCATCAATCAATCAATCATCAAAATTTATATTATTTAGCATACCAGACCATGTCAAATCTATCACCAAATCATAAATCGGAATCAGTTTTCCTTTCCTTTGATTCAATTCTGCATCACCATTACATTCTGTCACAGATGCAATTTTCACCATTACACCTTCATGTTCTACCGAAAGATTCTCAAGATTTGTTTTTAGATATTCTTTAGCCCAATCTATACAATTTTTACTTGTCCTAATAATATTTTATTATTATTATTATTCAAGTAATGGTTCTAAATATATCAAAGTATTATATAATAAATATACATGCCAATGCCTTTAAAATATTAAAAAACATTAATTAGCATATATAATCAATCTTTTGGAAAAAAATAATTAATTAATCAATTCTCCCCCTTACCAATTATTCACATTCTTCCAATTACTCATCTTGATAGATTAATAAAATGGATGAATTAAAAAAAAATTTTTATTTATTTATAATAAATTTACGACTTTCTAGAACATTCTACACATACAAATCTAGATTTATATATATATATATTAATGTTGATATTTCTAGAACTTTTGTTGCTTTGACAGGTAACATTAAAAGTTGATTGGTGGGATGTTTCTGTTTAGAAAAATGATTTACCAAAACATACTTTCGAAGACCATTTGAGTGCTAATATTTAGTTCAGAATGAAAAATATCGCCATCATTAATCTAAAAGATTCAACATTGACTAAATTTCTTGATTTTCTTATTATTATTGATAAAAATTTTAACTTGTTTCGCTAAATATTTTATTGGCCTTCGATTTTACGGGATGTGATGTTGTCCGTGTTATAATAGAAAAATTTATATATTATATACCCCATAGAAAATTTTTTTGAATATGACTGCCAACACTATGATTCGAAAGTCTATTCTAATTAAATTTAAATCCAACAAAAGAAACTCAAAGCAGAAAAAATCTACCGAACAGCTTTCAAGGTTCGCGTTAATATGATCACACACAACAGAGTTTTCTCAATCCTCCTATAGGAATCTTGACAATGACATTAAAATTTATCATCACATTTGATGCAGTCGATAAAATATGAATTATCAATAATAGGAAATGACATACCACAAAACACAACGGCTTTGATTAGAGCTCTATTTGTTGATTCAATTTTTTTTTCAATTGATAATAATGCGATTTCATAATAATTAAAAGTAACTGATTGTTGTGAGTTAATTGTTGCTGCTTCTAAAGAAGATTGCTTACTAATTTCATTAAGATAATCTCTCCTAACTTCTGAAGTACATCCTGTCTGGACAATGACATTAGCTAAATGTGCAAAGAGTTTTTGTGGTTGACCACAAAAGTATTTCTTATTCACATTGTACTGAATGATGACCATTTGACTTATGATCCAAACGGTTAAAGGAGGAGGTCTGCCAGTTTGTTTGTTTTTTTTGAGACATTAATATTTTTTGCATTCGTAATAATTCGCATAAATTAAAATAAACAATCATTTGATTGAAATATTGATAGAAACAGGAAAGGCGCCTTCAAAAACAGATTACATTTTAATTATTGTTCAAGTAGATTATTTTTCTTGTATATTTACTATTTGAGTCAAAAATTGAGCCATTTCCAAAAATCAATTAATCAAATGTTTTTACTTTCGTCAAGTGCCTCTTCTATTTATTGTCATGTCAAATTGTCAGAATGGAACTTGATGAGAAATTATCGCTTTAGTCAATGCTTTAGTTATGTCAATTGTTAAAGCCAAAAGCCTCGACATAAATATTAATTTCGTGACCTGCGAAAAAGGACATTTAATATAAGCACAAGAAGGGATTTTAGAAATAATTGGATTATGTTTTGTTACTCGGGATTTGCTTGCCAATGTGATCGTGGTAGAATGATGATTTATAAGTTTTATCGGGATTCGTGTATTTTTATTATTTTATGTCTGATATTTGTTCAAAAAAAACAAATTATGCGATATTTCCGGGAATGTAAAAATAATATAATACAACTATTAATCTGTTTTAGAATTATTATTTGCTAACCTGCCACCAGCAACAAGGCATAAAAATTAAAAAGCAACAATAAAAATTTATTGTTTATTTATTAAAACTGGCTGTTTTGCTAAGCATCTACATGATTGATTAATTAAATTAAAAAAAAAAATCGATCAAATTAAAGGAATTAATTAAAATAAAAAATTAATTAATTAAAAAATTTAAATTATTGTTACTAATTCTTGCTTAATTTAAAAACAATAATAACAATAAAGATAATAATTAAATAATAATGAAATGAAATAAAATAATAGAAAATTTTATTATCGTTCGACATTAATTAATTATCCAATAACTGCACTATCGAGAGGATTACCCTTGTAAGAAACCGTAACAGGTTTACCTTTTATTAAACTAAGGACTCCAATAGTACTGTATTTAAAAGGGTCAGTACCAGGTGGTTTGTTCACTATACCTAATTCAGTGAAGGTTTTTGCAACGCCAGCCAACTTCACACTATAATTATCAGTAACAGTATCACTGATGCCTGCGGTGAATTGTCCAGAAACTGTGATGGTAGAAGCGGTTTCTTGAAGGAATTCAACTGTACCCTGGAGTACTGAAAAAGTGGCAGAGAGTTTATCACCTACTGCTCTTTCTGCAATTGGATAGCTTTCTGGTTCACTTTCAGCAATTGGATAGCCTCGTTCAGCAATTGGATAGCTTTCTGGTTCACTTTCAGCAATTGGATAGCCTCGTCCTGCAATTGGATAGCTTTCTGGTTCACTTTCAGCAATTGGATAGCCTCGTTCTGCGATTGGATAGCTTTCTGGTTCACTTTC